TCCCACCTCTGCTGATAAAGGCAGAGCTCTCCAGCAGCTGCCAGCCTCCCCCCTTCCAACCAAACTGCACATGCACAGAAACATTTACCAGGCTTCTGGACATAGCTTTGCCTTTCATTTTCTTTTTCAAGTGCATTCGCATGTAAATTGTCTTGGTCTGAGAGGATACAAGAATACAAACACCTTTTTTTTTTCCTTTGGTATGGCATTAGGGGGAATATGGTGTAAGGAGCAAAGTTTCCTCACCTCTGGGCTGCATTTCTGCAGCTAAGGAAAAGCAAGTTAATTGTTTCCCTCTGCACACAGATGCTGGCTGTGCTGTTTTCAGCAGCCTCCTTCCAGTGAGCCATTTCAGAATATAAAGGTCTATTACATATCCCAGGGACAGGCACAAAGAGGCAGAAGTCTTATCTGACCTGTTTGATCTATTGTGAGAGCAGCAGATAAATGAATATGAGTCTATAATTGTGTCTGACAGTTTGAAACATGGTCCTGTCCCACATCCCCAGGGTTAGAGGTGGTTTGGTGGATAGCAAACTCCTGGGGACAAAAAATAATAATTACAATATGAGGCTGGAATCCAGGAAAGGGCACAGCTCCTCAGGGAATGAATGTATGTGTGCTCCCCAAAACAAGCATCTCTGGGGGGAAAAGCAGCTGGAAATCTGTTCCACAGCACTCGACACACTTCAGCCCCACATCTTGACATGTGCTCCCACAGAGTGAGCATGAGAACATACGAAGAGCCTTGCAGCTCAGACACATGGTGTCCATCACCTGCCCTGCACCCCTGCCAGGGACAGGAGCAGGGCAGGTTCAGTCTGGCTACACTGCCAGCTCCAGCAGCTCCTTCTCTTTCTGCAAGGACAGAATGGATTCACCTTGGAGCCCGACTCTGATGATCAACACTGCATCAGGAAACTGCCCTCCAACTCGAGCTGAATTTCTTGTGAGCTGTGCTGAGGTGCTGTGCTGTCCAATGGCACCATCAGTCAAATGCAAGTGTCTGGAGCTTTGAATGAAGAGTGCCACAGACAATGAGTAATTGTATGTGGTAACACCTAATAAGGGTATCAGGCCTGATCCTGACATCCACCACATTCTTGTGCACTGGGAATAACTCCCATTATGGCACAGGAGCCAAGTGGGGTGTGAGGATGATGCCTCACCTGAGCTGTCACCCCATTTTCAGCTTGGGACCCTTCATACCTGCTGCTCCACGTGGCTGTTCCCTTGGTCTTCTCTATCCTGAGTGTTCCTCCTGTGTTTCTGTCAACCCCCAGCCAAAAGATGCTGGTTTCTTCGGTAGCATCACAAACGTTCAAGCACCATGGGGGGGAAAAAAAATGCACTAGCAAAGTGCAAACAGTCAGTACTTTGGGTTCAGGCACCAGAAACGAAGAATGGAAATGGCTGTGAAGAGGCACAAGCCCAGAGTTACGACTCACTGTGATTTTTAGTGAACGAGCAGGTTGACACGGGGTGTCCTGGCTCTGATCTGGGGACACAGGGACGACAGGACGGGCTGGCAGCACATCCCTGGGGAAAGCCTTCTCGTTGGTGGAACAGACAGCACACTGAAACTTTGCTGCTTCTCTCCACGAAACCTCCATCACCCTGGTACTCCAGGAGCCAAAGCACCAACCAACTTCAGCTTCCAAACAAACGGGCCTCGGCTCTTTGAACCGCAGCTCCGGTTCCGTGTCCGCAGCCGCCGGGCCCGGCACCGCCAGCAGCGCGTTGTGCCGGGCTCTGAGCTCCCCCGGCTCTCACAAACTGCTCTCCTTGTGTGCGCTGCAGCCTCCAAACCAACCGCTGTGTGTTCCCCAAGTCCCTGCTGGCACAGGGCCGGGGTGTGGGGGCCCAAACCTCGCCCTGGCTCTGCACAAGGCCTCTCCTCCCGGCCTGACCCTCCCGCTCCCCCATCGCCGA